CAAACGTAAAAAAAAACAAAAAAAAAAAAACATGAATCATAATTCTTATTCTAAAATTTATATCAACCAAAGACCACCAAGCAAGGGTGTTCTAATCAGAGTTTTATTTCTAATATGTTATTGCAGGTTGAACTATTGACTCTAACAATATTAACCCAATACAATATCAACTAGGGCTGAAACAGCAATAATTGTAATTAATTGAATATTGAAATATTCGTAGACTAATTTAGTTATAAATGAATGGTTAACAGGAGTGTAGAGACTGACTGCAACCCACTTAGAGCTATAAATATACCAAAATTGTAAAAATATATATAAACATTTTGCATTCAATCTGCTCCATCCAGAACTCCTCAAATGAAAACATTTTAGTTTCACCTGGTTTAATTTAGTAAAAATATTCTTTAAGGAACTTTTCGCTACCTGGTTATTAATCCATAACAATTATTTTAGATTGAGGCCAAAACATTCAGATTCGTTAATTTTTTTTGCTGATTTCAAACCATTTTCCAATATCAATATTGGATCAGAACAGCCCTAAAAAGGAATATGTCCTCAAAATATGATAAACCATTTTGTTTTATATATGTTTTGCTGTAGAAAATATTTTTTAACACCTAAATTCATCAATAAAAAATGACCCTTCAGCTGCATCAGGTTACTTTCTCTCAGACTCACCTTCTTCTTCCGGCGCTCATATCCACTGGTTCATCCATGATGTTTTCCTTCCCATTCTTACTTTGACCAACATGAACACTGTGACTGCCGAGCCTCAAGCTTCCGTTCAGCTTCTCCTCATACGCGGCTCCCATTAAGCTCTGGTGGTGGATGGAGCTGGCACTGGGGCCCTTCCCATCCCCAAGTGTCCCTGGCACCTCTAGGGCAGCCAGATCAGCCAAGTCCTTGCGTTTAAGAAGGGCCAGCATCTTCAGGCGCTCCATGGCTTCATGACCCTCCATCTTTAGACGTTTGGACAGAGCCTCCTCCCTCTCGGTGGATGTCTCCAGACCTCGTTTTAACAGGTTGAGCCTCAGTGTATCATCAGACATTCGCTCCATGCTGAGAGAGAAAAGAGGGAATGACATCAGCATTAATAATCTCTCGGCATAGACTGAAGATCCATCACATCATTTCATCCTTTGTGATTCTGACATCACAAAGACTGACTTTAAGGAGGGTCTTTCAATTCAAGGTACCAGGCAGGTCTAGTTTGAACAACACCTGGTTCTTCCTGCTTTTTTAAAAGAGACGTCCTCCTAAACCAGGCATCCCCAAACTCGGTCCTCAAGGCCCCCGGTCCTGCAGGTTTTAGAGGTTTCCTTGCTCCAGCACAGCTGATTTTAATTGAAAGCTGATTAACAGGCTTTTGGTCTACTGCAATCATTATAACCAGCTGTGCTGAAGCAGAGAAACCTCTAAAACCTGCAGGACAGCGGGCCTTGACGACCGAGTTTGGGGATGCCTGTAAACAAACGCAGTATAATTGGGGAACAAAGCAAATATGACACAAAAAACTAAGACTTTAGTGCAAATGAAAATGCAAATTCTGAAAAAAAAAATGACCAAACCAAAACACCACGAGGTTAACATCTATAATTCTTCCGTTTTCTCTTAACCAAACAGAAAGCTATTTTAATATAGTGTCATCAGAATGAGACAGTTTTGTTTTAAATAAAAACCGGCTCCGTGGATTAGATTTTTTTGTTTTGTTTACATTATTACTCCTAGCTCTGCTTCTTGAAAATAAACAAGCGACCTTAAAGAGGAAGCTTGGCCTCCTTTAGCTGGAAAGAAGAAAAAAAAAGAAGGTATCTGCTGCCAAGTCTCCACCTTTACGTCCAACGGTTAGCGGTGTCATGTACCCCGACGCCCCACACCCTGCTTGGCACTTCTCCTCCAGCTCGACTGTTACACTTTTAAACATGCACGCATCCGTGCGTCGGTTACTGACCGAGGACCATGCATTGACTTCGGTTCATTTTCAACCCGTTTAACGGAACCCATACTGGCTCACACCCAACTCATCTTTTAGTCTTAAGCCTAACCTCGAACACGTAACACACTGAGCACATTAAAACAAACTGTTGAGACGGCGTTTGGAACAATGAGCGCCGACTGTGTGCTGTAACGCTGCAGTCCTCTGAACTAAACCCACAGTCATCCTCATTTGGCACAGCATTCCAACAGAGGGAAGGATTTTTTTTTTTTTTTACCCTTCCTTTCTGCTCCAGCTGTACACTGCCACAAAGAAACCCTCCCTGCTTTTCTACCCTCCCCCAATTCTTTAAACCTTCGTCGTTTCTCCTCCTCCTCCTTTTTCACTGTAAAAATAAACATGCTTATTCTCAGGGGCCCCTTAAATGCAGCCAAAGCTTAGATTTTCATTTGTTGGTATTATACCAGCCTATCAGGTGTAGAGAAACGGAAAAAAAAAAAACCAAGACACAGCCAAGATATACAGGGGTTAGATCTTTTGGCATCTAGAGAAATCTTTCCAAATCTTTCCAAATGTCTCCATTGTGTGAAGAGAGTTGCTGCTCGGCATGCCAGATGGAGCTTTTAACTTAGCTGCACACTAATTAATGGGGACTTTTGCCAAGGTGGGGAGAAAAATGGATGTCCTAATGGGTAAAGATAACTTCCTAAGTTTCAAAGTTTGTGAGTAAAGGTTAAGCTTTTAGAGGTAAAGTGAGGCATACGAGGATAAACATCAGTGACATTCGCAGGACGAGAAGAGAGGCAAAGCTGGCAGTGCTCTCCTGATATAATACCAGCTCTTAATTCCTTCCACCCATCCCCCAACACACACAGACACACACTCCATGTTCTTAATGCAATGAGCTGTCGATCAAATGCCTGCTGCTAAAATGTCCTCCTGAAAGAAGCAGCCTTCTTAAGCCCACGGTGCGGCTGATGTGCGTCCATGTTTGCATCCGTGCGTTTTGTCAAACTGACTGATAATGTGGTGAATTGCAGTTGCACAGGAAAGCGTGCTGCTTTTTTCATCTATGATGTGCATCAGAGCTGAGGCAGCTAGGTTTTATCTTTCCACTCTGAGTCCCCTGCTTTTTAAACTCTTCCTCCTACAAATTTATAAAATATATTTCTAACACTTCTCTATTCCCTAAGATAAAAAGCAGTATAGACTATTATCCTCACAAATGATTTATAGCTGCAGGAAAAGCAATCTTAGAAATCAGCATGAGGTTAAAAATCCTTCCCCTCATGTTACTGGAAATCTTCATATTACTTATTGCGTAGAGAGTAATATAAAAAAGGTTTGATCAGGTGCTCATTTAAACAAAAAACTATAGTCAACAACAACAACAGGTATGTGATCCACTTGTTGTGAAGCTTCCTTATAATCAGGTTTGAACTTGAAGAATTGGGAGCATAATACAGAACAAAAATTCTAGTCAGACTGACTTAATTAGTTTCAAGACACCTAAGGGCCCCCTGACACACTGCAGATTTAGCCAGCGTATGCCTGACGTCCCAGAATCTCCTAAAACGCTGCCATACACTGAAATTTCTATGCATTTTTTCCAATTTTGGGAGTATACATAGCAAAATCATAACGAGTCCAGAACGTATGTCCAACAGCCTGACTTATGCATAACGGATGGCAGCACAATGCCCAGGAAATGTTAAAGCTAGAGTCCTGAGGGGGGCAGCGAGGCGGCCGGCTTGCATAAAAAGATTTCTTTGATCGCGGTATTAAACTAGAAGAAAAAAAAAAAGGAGGAAATAAAAAGAAAGCAGGTTTGCAGATGCAGCAGATTCAGCGTCATGTCTGCTGGTGGTGGGCGTGAACGCAGGGAGGATCTTCCGCCTCACCATGATGGGGATGAAGTCTGGAGGAGAACTGACCGTTCCCTCCTGTGAACTAGGGGTGTGCAAAATAATCGTCATGACGAT